GGGCCTTGGTGTTATCAGCACCACACTCTCCCGAGTGAGCCACGGGCTGGCCCAGTAAGAGCATTTTGAATAGAGGGAATATTCCATTTTCAGGTCCAAGGAATGGGCAGAATCAAAGCCATTGTCTTAGTTGGCTTTTCTGCAGTGAGACAGCAAGCAGCTCTCCATCAGGCACTAGCTCCCTGCTCTTCCTTGCCAGAGGTGACAGGACTGCAGCTCTCACCTCTGCCTCCGATAGCACTACTAGTGAAGGGAAATCTCCACTTAGCAACTGAGGCCAGGATTCTCACCAGGTGAACAGAGCACACTCCCCCAAAACTGGCTCATTAAATCCTGAGAGAACTCTTAAAGCTCAGAGATGGTTTATGGGCTCCTGATAGGACTTGAAATCATCATCAAGAAGGGAGGAAGACCTTGAAGATCCTATGTCAACTCCAGTTTAAAAATAAAATCCAGACAATTTATACTAGATACACTTTGGCCAGCAGCTTTCCCCAAGGGAAGAACATTGAAGGTACTAAGAAAATATTTGCAGAACCACTCAGCCAGGGGCAACACATGCCAGTGTTATCTCTGACCCATTCAGAACCACAATGGTGTCTTCTACATTAATCACAAGAAGCACATGTACTACCTTAAGCCACTCACTGGATTTATATGCGATACAGCACATGCTCAGTTGGCCAGGTGGGGGTCATTTTGGAGGCCTAACTGACAATCCCATGGGGGTTTGGAATGAAACTAGGTGACTACTTTATAAAGGTAAAATGAAGATGTTTCTTTAGAATTTGTGTGGGAAGCCAAGAGAAGCATTTATTTACCCAGTTTGACCTTGAATGGCAAAATTATTTACCCAGGTGGAAAGGAGATACTTATAATACGAAGAGTAATGATGTATTTCCCCCTGTATTCAGCTTCATGACCTTTTCCCAAAATGTGTGCCTACCATTGCAGCAGCAGGCCAAACTCATAAGTTGTATAAGGGCTTAAAGGACCTTATTAAATTCACCTCTTGTTAACATAAAAATTAATGTGCATGGGTAACATCTGTTTTTTATTGATTTAATCAATACATTGGGAATTTAGCAGCAAATTAATAGCAAGAAGTTACAAAATCTCTTATTTTTCTATGCTTAAAATAAGTTGTCTTAAACAATCTATAGCAACACATGTGAATGACTGAAGCACTTCTGCAGTAATGCCTTTGGCAAGTT